AATAGGAAACAGCCATGTGAAAAAAGTGGGATCAGGGGTGCTTTTTTCCAATGTCCTATTCAGGGATAATTCTTAATTCTAATAAGGGTCTTTCTAGCCAGAAACTCCTTACTTCTATAGACACAGTTTTGCCACCTGTAAAATGAGAACAGTATGACAACTTGTAGGCATTACCTGGATTAATACTTGAGAAGATCTTAGGGCAGTCACTTGGGGCATATTGGTTATTATTACCTGTGTAAAGGTTCACATTCCTTCGATCAGCTGCCTCTTGCACACCCCCTACTGGGGATGTGCCCACAACCAAGGTACATGCCCTTGACCGGAATTGAACCTGTGACCTTTCAGTCCACAGGCCAATGCTCTATCCATTGAGCCAAACTAGTTTCAGCATCCCAGGACATTTCTAATTGGATGACAACTCTGCTTATGGGGTCCCCAAACAGTTGCTGGAACTATGCAGAATCAATCTAATCCACCATCTACATCCCTAGTCCTCCAAATACTTGAAGACAGCTTTCATGAATTTAATAACAGCTTTCTGTGGCTTATTTATTTTTAATTTCAAGAACAGAATACAGTAGACTATAAAAATGAGTGTTATCAGTCTTCCTTTGGATTTTCTATGTAAATGTTGTTTAACATTCAAAGGGTGCTGATTATAATTTGAGATATTAACAGTTAGATATGCCATTGTGTCCCTCTGTTATTGTTTGTAAAGGAGGTTAAACACTGTATTAACTTCTGAGTAGTGATTTAGTGTTGCTTTTGTTAGAGAAAAATAAAGAAAGAAGTAACATCATATAATTTGATATTGCCTTTGAGGGTTTTCCGTTTGCAGAGGCCTTCATTTCCAGCCCAATTTCAGTTTTTAAAAAGCAAACATGTGGTGTAACTACAGCATCCTGTAGATGCCGAGTTGCTCTTTGCTTCCTGGCTGAAGCTGCTGTGGAATAGTGCTCGGTAACCATTAAACAGCTGCTCTGCCTCAGAGATGCTCATATTTCCTTTGGTAGATGAAGAGAATTTACTGCATGTACGTCTCCAAATTGCTTTAAGATCTCTTGGCCCGTGCATCAGCCATTTAGATTCACAGTGGTTTATGGGACACGTGAGCACCATCTTTCTGGAGGCCCCCACAGCCCAGAGGTTCCAGCAACAACCTGCACTTTGCTGAGTCTCACTCTCCCGTGTTATCCCGGGGCTCCTGATTCCTGCACGATCCTCTCCCCTTGTTCTGACAGAGTCCTTAAGTGTTATTTCTTATATCATGGGAGCAAGTGCTGTTCATTATATCCAAGGGCCATCCACTGTTTCTTTTCTTTACTCTGCCTCATCTTGGGTAATGCCTACCTACTGTAAAGGCTTTGCTGCTCACACACATGCATGACAGGTGGTAGCCCTCTCTCCCAGGCTTCCCTGACCCCCCACACTCCTATAAGGTCATTGTCAGTAGACACCCCTGCTCATCCACAGAGTCTCCCTATGTTCCATGCAGGGGTGGACGCCAGTGGGAGCCATGGTGTTGCATTTCTATCTAGTGGGTGCTAAAGCAATTCTGACATGTTTTCAATGCCTTTCATAGTTTTAGTAAAATAACTCGTTCAGTTTTTCTCGTAGATTCGAATTCCTTAGAACTTGGAAAATTGGGGGTGGGGAGCACCCGGCTGGGAATTGCCTTCCCTTGCCTGTGGCATAGTCATTGTATTTATCTGTGTGCCTTGCTGTCTTTCCCCTGGTAGGATTAGCTTGAGGTAGCACCTCTTAGCAGATCCGCACCCAACTCCGTCTTAATGTTATGTTCAAATAAATAATGCATATGTATCTGAAAGATAGTCAACTTTAATATCTTCAACTCTGTCTTAAGGCACACAACTGAGAAACAAATGGAGCCCTGGTTACTCATCGAAGTAATATGGAAATGAACTTCGGATGATATGTACATATTGAAATGTTATTATGTATTAAGATGATGTCATTTATTTAAATACTAGAGGCCTGATGCACAAAATTCGCAGCCCCAGCTTCATCCGGAAGGTTGTCTGGAAGGAAGTCCGGAAGGTCATTTGGCTGTCTGGTCTAATTAGCATATTATATTTTTATTATTATAGATACTGAAATGTTTATTGCTTATTCACTTATTTCTCAGATTTTTTTTAACAACTATTTTTGAACTCTTACTCTTTAAACTTTTCTAGTTCCTCGGTATTTATTTGGTACTAAATGCCTGAAGTTTTACACAATGAAGTCAGAAATACAATCTGACTCTAATCATTACTCTTTCCCATTTTACCCAAAAGCCTAAATAAAACTTTCAGTAAATGAGTTCCCGGAATAACAATATAGTCATTCTTCAATCTTGAGCCATCTAAGTCTGCCGTTATAAAAGTACCAAAATGTTCTTTTGTGATTCCCTCTTCAGTAAATTGCATTTTAAAATTTTGTTCTGCAAGTATTTATTTAGTACTTTCTGTACATAGTGGTGCTGAGCTAGTTGTTTGGGAGCTACAGAGATGAACAAAAACCTAGCTACTCCTTCAAATAACCCAGCTGAGAGTCTATTAAGAACCACAAGACCTAAAAACAGTTACCTTGGAAAACTCGGACATCCAAAGTGATGTGAAATAAGTATACACAAGGTTCTGGGTGGAACGAGAAGAAAGAAATTGGTTGGAGCTGGCCCAGGGGTTGGGAGCGGAGGTAGAGGAGCAGACTGTGGAGAGGGTGGTGGTTGAGCTGATACTGAAGAATGAGAGCAGAGCGGGCCTCCTGGTCAGAAGGGAGCTGCCTGAGAAAGGCATGAGGGCAGGCATGTAGAGGGCACAGCTGGATGAGGACAAGAGAGCTTGTCTGATTGCTTAAGTATATGAGCTGTAGCCATGATAAATGAGGTCTAAAATAATATGTATATAAGTCTGTATTAACATATTTACCACATGTAAAATTTCATGTGCACTATCATATAAAAGTACATCTAATTGTACTTAAAAAAAAAAAAACCAACAAAAAACAAAAGCAACAGAAATCTTTGTGTTCAATGATAGTCTCCAGTGATTCAGAAAATTAGAAATATCTTTATCCTGAGCCACACAAAGGGAGTCAATGTCTTTTTTTTTCTTTTGGTCTTCATGTCTTTTAGCACCTTGTGCAGTGCTGGCTAATCTAGTTGCTCAATAATCACTGAAATGAATTCAATCTGGTGAAATATTAATTGCTCAACATGTAGGAGTTTTTTAAAATAGAAGCACATCAAAATCAAATGGGAACATTTTGTTATTATCCTCTTAAGAGTATATATGTATATGTATATGTATATGTATATGTATATGTATATGTATATGTATATGTATATGTATATATATTTTTAACAGTAATGACTTAATATGAAACTTAAGTATTATCACCAGCTGGAATTTCATACTTTCTTCTCTCTCATTCTTTAATCCTTTATCTAAAGAAGGTGGATGGGTGGGTGTAAAACAGTGTTCAGACATATGTGACTCCTCAGTTCACAACAGTAAAGCATATATTATAATTAAATGATTTACTGTCTTTTCATGCTCTGTATGGTTAAAAAGGTTGTGGTAACATTTATTCTGGTAAAATCTCTAAGTGCAGATTTACAAATAATTTGAGTGTCTAGAATCCAGTGTGTATAATGCAGTGTATGGGTGATCACTGGTCCCAGTGGTCAATTGGAACTTAGGATATCAGTGCCTACCATGGCTTTTCTATTTTGAGTTCATTTATTATTCATAACAGTTCTATAATGTAGGTAATTTTATGCCTCTAATTTATAGACGAGGGATCTGGGGCCCAAAAAGCCTCATAACATGTTCAGGATTCCACCCTGGTCCATGGTGGTTGGGAGTCGAATCCCAGCTCTTTGACTTGAGTGCTTCATGTTACACCACCAGCGCCTCACATCTGGCAACAAATCTCCTCCCTTGGTCAACCCTAAAGCTCTAAGTGAAATCATATCAAATTGAGAATCTTTGGAATTGAGAGTTTTTTCCTGGAAGTATTTGAATTCTGAGGCTTTCAGGCTCTTTTTGATCTGTCCGTCAGGCAGCAGAGAGTAACCATATTTCTTCTTCTTAGGTGTTCTCTTCCTCCTCACCTCATTATGCCTCTTTCTCGTAGACAGGGAAACTGGCGACAGGGCCAGTGTCTGTGGGAGTCCTCAGCTCTAGGTGTAGACACAGCTAGACCAGCTGCAGCACAGGCCTGCTGGACCCCATACCTGGAGGTCCTGGAAGGGTCATGTGGCATTCCTTGGAACCCTGCAATCACCACTGTTTGCTAGAAAAAGTGTTCAGTTCTTGAAACGAAGGGGTTCCGGGGGAATAGTAGCTAGGGTGAGAAAGCAAGAAGATCTGGTGAGGTATAGTCAAGGTGCACGGAAATTGCTTGATGCAAAGTGTTTGCTGTAATGTACAAGTTATGCATTTGTGTGATTCATGACCCGGGAATGAGGATGGGGGTGCTGCTAATGGCAGCTCACTTTTCTTTAATCAGGGGAGGATTTGTGAAAGAACAGTGGTTGCAAGAGATGTTTGAAGTAATTCCAACAAGGTGCTAATTGTGGTTGTGGTTTTCCTTTTTCTTTCTCTCTCTCTCTCCTTTTTTTAAATGGATGGATTTTCATCTACCAGATGCTACCAAGCTGAATGCATGTATGAGAACCCCTAAACCTTCCTTTTCAACATGGGTGGGCCATGGCAAAAGCACCGTGCCAATTGCCCTGTATATTTAGAAAGTTAAAAAATTATCTCAGGCGGTGATTTAGTATCTAAACTTTTTTTTTAACTTTTGCTTAAACAGACCCAGTTTGCATTCACAAGTTTTGCCTTTACATGTTTTTGTTGTAAGCTCACTTCTTTTTTTCTTTTTTTTTGTTTTAACCTTTGGTTTAAAAACACTTGAACAAATTCTAGTGTTTAATCATTTATTTGCTTCCTGCACATGCTGATCTTTTCCCCCTTTCTGTGTCTTTTCAGGATACCTTGAAGATAGTTTTGTAAAATCTGGAGTCTTCAATGTATCAGAGCTCGTGAGGGTATCCAGAAGTAAGTAAATAGTTTTCTTAGTATTTAATTTTGCAGTGAGATTTAAAATATTTTACATTTTTGAACCTTAAATACAGTCTGAAGAGTAACCATATATTAGGAGAAAATGAGCTTTAAATTCTCTGGCTTTTGATGAAATCACTAGTGAATACATTTTGTCTGGTTTTTCTAAAACATTTGCATTTAAACCATTAAAACTTTTTGTGACACAAAAATAATTTGGGGGTTGTTCTGATTGTCTTGTTACCGGTATTCACTTAATTCCCTGTTCTCTCTGTGACCGTAGATGGTCATTTTTATCAAAGGAAGTGCGATTAATTAAGTGTACTACGTATTGTTATAATAACCCACATAAGTTTCCTGTAGATAAGTGCTTTTTTATTTTACTGACATTTTGGTGGGAGCTGGGAGATGTACAGGATATACATGCTAACGTGCTATGTGTAGAGGGATGCAGAGATTAGCTTTGCAGATTGCAGCTGGATATAGATAGAAAGCATTGTTATCCCAAACAATATCCAATTGTTCTAACTGCCCGCCTCACCTGAGACTCCGTTCTTGGCTGGCCGGATGAGGAGTTTCTTGGGTAACTTCACCTGCCAAGCTAACTAAGCACTGTGAGTGTTTCCCCGATCAACTCCCTTACTTATAACTGGTGGTGCAAATGTGTATCTAGAATGCAGCTCTTAACGCACCGATGGCATTCAAGGAGGTGACTCATGTCTTGTTGCTCTCTTCCTTGTGGTAGCTTCTTTATGAAACCTGGAAGGGTGTGTTTTCACCTGACATTTTGATGGAGAGCCTTGCAGTTAGGAATGATGCTACACAGATAATGTAGTGGCACTCCGGTTCTTGTTTAAATTGTGTTTTTCATCTGGGTCACAGTCAGAGGTCATGGCGAAGATTTATGGTGATCCAAAAGAACAGAGGGGGAGTGAGTTCCTGAGGGTAAAAGAGTAGGTGGTGCTTTAGAGTTGTGTTGAGTGAAGGAATCTCCAACGTAGTAGAGTCCTGGGTCTTTTGAATCATCGTTGCTTACAGAGTTCCAATTTCTAAAGCAGCCAAGTGCAAATAGTCTGATTCTCAGAGAGTTATGCACATGCACCTTTAAAACTTGAAGTAACTCATCCTTTGTGACGTGATGTTCCAGTGGATAAGTGTATACCGCAAAGACTTCTGTCCTAGGTCTATGTACTTGAGAGCAGTGTAGACCACAATCTAACATCCTGTAGCTCCAGGGTTCATAGTTACTGGGCAGGAGGATTCTGATGGTTTACTGATGGACCAGGGCTCTGGGCCCTGTGTGCTTTTCCTGACCAGACTGTGGTCTGAAGGCCTTTGACATTTGAAAATTCTTTTATGTTGATTTTTAAAAAATATATTTTTATTGATTTTTTTTACAGAGAGGGAGAGGGATAGAGTGCTAGAAACATTGACCACTGGGGATGTGCCCGCAACCAAGGTACATGCCCTTGATCGGAATCAAACCTGGGTCCCTTCAGTTGGCAGACTGACGCTCTATCCACTGAGTCAAACTGGTTTCGACTATGTTGATTTTTTAATTTGAGAGGAAACTGCCTGACTTACTTTCACTTTTGGGCCTCATGTAAAGAAGGGGTATTTGGAGGTGTGTGTGTGTGTGTGTGTGTGTGTGTGTGTGTGTGTGTGTTCTCCATAATGTTCTTTAGTAGGGAAGCTGTGCTGCTAACAGTTATAAGACATTATGGAATTACTTGTTTAAATTTCCTAAGTTCCAAGATATATTTTCATCTTTCTTATGAGAAGCAGTGGAGTCATCAATCAGGAAATGTGATTAGCGTCTCATCACAGGTGACATTATGCTGGATGCTATAGGAGAGCCATGTTAGAGCTGTCAAAAGCCCAGGGGGACATTTTGAAAAATTTGAAACATAAAAAACAACAACAAAACAAAACAGATTAAAAATTACTTTTCTATAACAGTTCAGAAACGAGGTAAATTTAACATACTTCACTCATTCTTTCTTAATTCGTACTGTCATTTCTGAGAGGTTTTTGTGTAATCTGTTACAACAAACATTACTGATTTGCAATTAGTCCATTGATTATCCACATTCATTCATTCATTCATTCATCGATTCAGCAAACATGTATTTTCTCCTCTGGATGTGAATGCATGTCTCTGAAATGCTTGAGAGATGATTCCCCTACATGTTTTGATATCTCTACATTATAATCTTATTTACACAATTGAACTTTATTGTGGGTGAAATATGGGTTTGCTAAGTAAACATAGACTTCGGCACAGCCCTCATGCTGTATATCACAAATTCCGACTTTTTGACAGTATGTTAATGGTTCCTGTCCTCCAGGGTTTTACGATCATATGACCCACTAATGTGTATGTTGACTTTAGCTAATGAAGCTATTCAGTTTTAGGATAGTGATCTTTCTGTCGAAGGATATTATCTCCATCTTAGAAGTTGATTTAGGATCAGCTTTTGGAGTGAGAAGAACAATAAGAGAGATTAAGGGCTGGCCTCTAACCTGTGGAATCTGCGATTCTTGGGAGCTTGGTTTCTGAGAGGATATTGGCAGCCTCTTAAACATGATTTGCAGCTCCAGGCCTCTTGCCCTTCTCTGAGAGACGTGCTCACCCTGATCTTTGTGTCCACGGGAAGTTCTCTCGGGGGCTTGTAGACAGGAATCTGTCTGGGACTTGCTGTTCTCATACACTTTGCCATTAAATACATTTTGTGGGTGTGCTGTTTTAGAATGTGGCCATGTTTATTAGTAATCTACTTCCCTTTGTGGAGTCTCGCAGTTCATGTCAGAAGGCACACTACATTTGTACTTGCGTATACATTTGTAGACAGGTTATTTTTATTGCCCATTTGATACTTTGGAATAATCTTTTCGGACAAAATTTAGAAAATCATGTCTGAAGACTTTTTTTTATTATCATTTTACTCTAAATGACACCTCGTAAGTTTATGGTCAAGCAACCTGTACTGACCATCCAGACATATGGATTATACAGAAATTGCAGAGCTTTGCCTAAATATTGCATGTGCTTACTAAATGGCACAGCATTTGTATAGGATATAACCTATGTTTCCTGTTAGCAACTCAGATACTGGAGTTATATCCATTCCTGTTCCAGCGACTGGACAGATTGCTTGCTTTCACTGAGCCACACAAATGCCTCCTTCTATCAGATGCCCTGCTTCCCAATGTCACATAGAACAAGGTTCTAATAATAGACATCAGAGCATGTGGTTACTATGCGATTTTTTACCTTGCATTTTTTTTTAACCTCCGGTGTACCTCAAGCCACCGCGAGCAGCTGCATTTTAGCTTTCCAAAGGATTTAAGCCATTAGGCACAGTTACACATGGAGTACAAACATGTTCTGTGTGGAAGGAGGCTAATGTGAGTTACATATAACATGAACAACCTAACAGAAAGCAGAAGCTCGAGAACTTTGGAGCTGAAACAAATCTCGTATGTAGCGATTTATTTAATTTTCAGTAGGAAAAGGAAGGTTGTCATTGTATAGTCCTTGGTGCTTCTCTGCGCTAAGGCCTTGCCTCATGTTCATACTTTCATAAAAACATTTTAAGTTAACCTTGGCCTGTGTGATATCGGAATACAACTCAACTGATGGTGAACACATTTCAATTGTTTATAGAAAAAATTCTGAGTAAGAAAAATTCCTTGAAAAATCTGTGGTCCCTTCAAAATTTTACTACTATATTCAACTCGAGGCAGTTAGGAGAGGCAGGCAGCAGACCTGGTGTTCTTAGAGTGAGTCTCAGGGGCTCTCCAATGTAGTTGCCCCAGCACAGGGCACACTTTTTCTCCTTAGGGCCTATGAAGGTCCAGTAAAAAGCAGGTGAAGAAATGGAAACTCTGCTTCACCTCTGTCCTCAGACACCAACCTGTCTGGTCTCCACCTCGTATATTACCTCTGCCCATGACTTTGATCCCTATGTAAACCCTATTTAAAACGATCCCCCCTTCAATACCTTATTCATTCTCTCAGGTCCACTGCCATCGATGGCTTTTCCACAGATTTCGTGGACCATTCAAGCTTGTATTACATTCTTCTTCCCTTGAAGTCCTATAGCATTTTATTGGTCATGTCATTCATTCGGACTGTTTCATTGTTGTCTACATTATGTTGAGTTTTATGTTTCCATGAGTGTTTTGTGTGCCCACCTTGTTGTCCAGTATGTTTCAAGGACCAGGACTACCTTAGACTGTTTTGTATCCCTTGCAGCACCTGCCCGTAATGGACACAATCAATAACTTGTTGAATGAACAAATTTTCAGCAAGTAGGTTCATTTATACCTCTTCACCTGCTCTTAGCATGCTTTTGAACTGTTATATCTTTGCTGACCACTTCAGTCTGCAAGGGAGGAAACTTGTGGGAGAAAGGAAAGAAACTCATATTTATTGAACACCTATTATGTACCAGGCATGATATCACGTTTGAGCTCTTTTATCCTCAAAATAATCATAGGTGGTAGGTTATTCTTCTTCTCATTTTACAGTACAGGAAACTGAGACACATATCTTATAAGTTGTAGAATAAGTTCAAACTAAAAGACTCTCTGGCTCCCAAGACTGTACCCAGTCTAGCACAACAACCTTGCGGATTTATCCAAAATGTCTAGAAACAAATGCTTTAATTTAAACAAATGTGCAAAACCCAACACAAATATACGAAAAAAATCTCAGTTCATGATATATCAGCAAAATAAAAAAAGATACCTTTACAAAATAATACCTTAAAATATGAAATTTCATGTACATATTTTACATCATGTATTACGTTGTAGCATAAACACTTTTTTAGAAGAAAAAACATAATTATTAAGAAAAGCTATGCTAACCATTCCTATGAAACCTAAATATCTATTTTTTTGGGGGGTAATCTTGACTTTATTTTATATTTAAAAATTTTTCTTACCTACTTGCCATAATACAGGGATTATTTATATAAAATAATCGTCAACATCATGATTTCTAATCCATTCTTATATTTAAGTTATTGATTCTATATTGACTATAGAATACTATTTGGTATTTATTTGTGAGACTGTTCTATATTTATTTAATGATGATTTGATGATGATTTTGTGAGTCAGCTTCATACAAAGCACATTACTCTAATGCACTGTAGACTGATGGGGTGTCAGAGTTAGAGCAAATACAAATGCGTTAGTGAGGAAGGTTGAGGAGTTAGAGTTGGGGGAGAGGTACTCCATAGTTAGAGCTTGAGTGCCTCCAGTTTGCAGACTTGAACTTTGGTATCAGGAGGAAGTTTTCAAATCCTGGCACAGCATATGGTTGATATTAGAGTCTTGAAAGTAAAGAGAGTTTTCCTCCTTGCCCGGAGGCTTGGAAAACATTAGATTATTACATTTGAATAAAGATGACAAGTGTAAAGGTCAATCCCAATGTTTCATTTGTTTTATTCCTCAGCACCCATCACCCAGGGAACTGGAGTCAACTTTCCAATTGGAGAAATCCCAAGCCAACCATACTATCATGACATGAACTCGGGGGTCAATCTTCAGCGGTCACTGTCTTCTCCACCAAGCAGGTAACTGAGGGAGAAGCTGCTTTTGTTTTCAAGTGTGTGTGCAAATTGGTAGGTAGGGAGCAATGCAGCTACAAAGGCAGGAGGGACAGAATAGGGGAACAACGCAAAGAGTGGAAGAGTTTTTGCTTATTTCACGCAGATTTTTTTTTTTTTCATCTTTCCTGGTGAAATTTATTTTGACATTTCAAAATTAAATGTAGTAATTGTTATTCAAAACATTTTAAAAAATTGGGGCAAGGGAGTGACCAGGGAATTATGAAAATGTATATGATTTTTTTATCCTGTTCTGTGGAATATTATAATTCTACAAGTTAGCTAATTCTTTTGACAACTTTAAAAATGATTGATCCATCCTGGTAACTTTTACCCTAATACCAAAACCCAGCTGGGGACAATGAAACATGAAAAATAAAATGTGTCATTTGTTTACACTTAAAAGCAAAAGGCCTTATTCTGGGCCAAAGTTTGCCAAGTTCTTCAATTAGTCAATATTCCTCAATAATTGAGCGAACTCTCAGTTACCAATGAAAATACTGCATGTTCTGAGATTAGGCTTAATCAGCCTTCTTTGTAGAAGAACTACAACTAGATTACTTTACTTTTTGGTTCTCTGTTGACATTCTCATTTTCCTCTCTTGACCTTCTTATTATAGCCTTCAGTCTCACAGGCATTTAAAAAGAGTTTTTCTATTTAAAGGAGGGATAAATCACTTAGAAAGTCATTGCACATAGGATTTCATTATATGTTCCACTATTGAAGAATGGTAGAAGAGGATTGAGGTAATGGGAATGAAAGGTGAATAAATAGTACAGCTTTGTTGGTTTTCTTTTTGAGTTAAATCTTCAATATATGAAGACCCATTTCATTTCCAAAGAATTAAGTATATCCATGATCAAATATGACCACATACATGGATTTTAGAGCAAAACATATATTTTATAAAATTAACTGAAAAAAAAACAGGCTAATTGTTTTTCTATGCTATTTCTATAATGAAAATTGATGGCATTTCAATTAATTATGGGGCTATGCACATTTGTATGTTTAGTATCTAAATTTAATTTTATGGTCGAACTGTATTTTCATATAGTTAGATTGCATAGCAAGATAATTGGGTTTATTATCACTAAAATAGTCTGTGACATCGTGAGATATTAAAATGATTTAATTTTTCTAAATTTAAAGAGTGAATAGTAATTTCTTGTTTTGTCTGATGAATCAGTATGTTGTCAACATACAGTGTCCATTTTCTTATGAAAATCTTTTCTCCCTTATTTCAAGTTTTCTGTATTTACTGCTGATTCAGAGATGGGATAATTGAATTATAGGAGGGTTTTAAAAATACATATTCTAACTTTTGTTACCATAAAACCACAGAAAAGAAACAAAAGAACCATAACTTACTCTCAGAGTTGGTTAGTACGGATAGAAATTACCTCCTTCTGCATCATGTTAATAGTGTGAGCTGTGAGTCAAACATTAATCACAGGCATATCTGTGAATATGCCCAGACATACACATGCCTCCAGGTTTTGGAAACATAGCAAGAGCACAGCTTACTTTGTGTCAGACTGTTTCCATCATTAGCATGCACTGGACAACTCCCTGAATTTCTCCATATTTGTCTCCCCACATGAAAGAAAAGGGAGGACTGGTTTCTGTGTAGGACTCTGGAGGTCCACTCCAGCTCTGAAATCCTATGACATTTTGTTTGCCACTTCATTAAGTTAATTCAGAATGTTTTTTGTTTTTGTTTTTAGTTTTTGCCTTGATAGATATGAATAGGGACTTTTGTAATTTCAGGAAAAATATCCATGTTTTTATAGTCAATTAGCTGTTTAATAGGGTATTGGCGAGGATATATGAAAGCAGTATATTAAGCTACATAGCATGTGCCATAAAATAGCTTTTCAACCTCTGTTCTAAATACTTTTCTTAATAATTTAGATGAGCCATGTTTTCCTGATTAAAATATATCATTTTAAAAGTATACCGTGTGGCTTGAATTTGGCAGTGGCCTGCTTTTCATGGGTGATCTCAAGAATAAAGGATCAATAACCTAATTTTTTTCAGAAAAGAATATATAAAGTAAGATATAATTGTTAAAGCACTATAAAAATTTTAAGCTTTATTAATTATAGGGTTACCAATGATAATCACTACTTAATAAGCATCTTCTAAGTGCTATCCACTCAACTAAGTGCTTTAATTTAATAACTCATTTAATCCTCTCAACCACTCCCATTTGAACTAGGTTTTATTATTTTTATTTTATAGATGATTAAACTAAGTTTAGAAAAGTTAACAAGCTTGTTATTAAGAAGTAGTAAGTGGTTTACATTTGACACTGAGCTAGTTCTTCCTACTCCAAACTTCATGTTCTGCTCTACCCCATTACCTTATCTTTGAATTAACATGAAAGGATTACATTGTTAATATCCAGTGCTATGCAAATGAACATTATTAATATCGATAGTATAAGAATCAGGGACATTCTTAATAACGCCTTTGAAATTAGTACATGTATCTCATTTAAGAGTACGCTTTTTACTCCTAAATTTTCTTTGGAAATACATTTCAAAGGAAAATATAATAAACGTCATGTTTGTTAGGTAGGCACATATATAATATAGTACGATAAATGATATGTACACCTGGAAACAGTGTTAGCCCTGTTTGCGTCTTGAATACTCACTCTTATTTCAAAATGATTCTGAGATACTATTGTGTTTATGGAAATTTCCACAGGAAGAATCTTCTCAAATTATACGCTTTCAAACGCTGCACAACTTCCTAGAAAGCCCATTAACATAACTATTGTTGCATTTTAACAGCAAAAGACCCAAAACCATATCCATAGATGAAAACATGGAGCCCAGTCCTACAGGAGACTTTTATCCCTCTCCGAATTCACCAGCTGCTGGAAGTCGAACATGGCATGAAAGAGATCAAGGTGAGTAGCAAGCAGGGATAGGGACCTTGTAGTAACATGTCAGCTCATTTCATGTTTCATTTAGTCAAAATAGCAGAGTGGAACCAATATGGATTTTTTTTTTTTTTCCATGAAATGGCTGCAGTAAAATTAGTTTTAAGCTAAGGTGCTTGTCAATTATTTTCAGAGTTCACGTTGAAAAAGTCCCATGTTTTACGTGTTCATTGAGTTTATTTTTCAGACAGAATGATCTTTTTAGAGCCCCCAATTATGTATGGAGCCAATCATTGTCTGTCTACCTAATTTGGTTGGGTCGCAGCAGAAACACCAGTTATGATTCCATTAGGTCAGTTTGCCTCTCTTTATGTGGTACTTTAAGGAGGAACCAAAAATCAGTTTGCAGGTGCCAGTTCCTGGAAGTTTCCATTGAATGGCTAGGATTCCTTCTGAAAGCGTTTACAGCATAAAAAATAAGTGAACGTGGAATGTAAGAAACTTTATATCTGAGTCAACCTAGTTCTTCTTTCTAGATAAACTACGACTCAATTCTAGGTCCACTTTGTGGGAAAATATAACTTTAAGAAATAGGTGTTATTTGGCACTCGGAATTCAGGCTTTTCTCCATTTTATTCTTAAAGTTTATTGCAGTGATTTTTAATTGGTGTGCTGCAAGAATTTTTAAAACATGCAATACCTGACTCTTTAGCCAGGACACTGACCTCTTTTCCTTTCGACTATCAATTAAAATATAACAATAGCCAACACAACAATAGCCACACAGTGTGAATGAATCAAAATTATACCTGATTTTTGGTCAGATCAACAAAAAATATCTCCTGGTGTGCCACACAATTTTAGTTGATGTGTGCTATGAGATGAAAAGGTTGAACATTATCTGGTCTATTGAATTATTTCATCAAACAAACCCATGCCTGTTTGCCTTAATTAGAGGGAGAATATTAAGCCTAGAAACAGAAAAATTAGCTAACTACACTTTGTGTTGGTATGTGTGCATGGATGTAAGTAGGACTTACATAATGAAAATTGTCTTTTAGATCAAGTTTTGCATTTTAATAAAAACGTAAAAGCACGCTTTGTCAGCAGTTTTAAACCCATGACTTGGGCGTGTGTATCTGAGGGTTGGGAAGTTGTATGTCCAGCAGTCTCAGGGTACAAATAACTTAGTGGTAAGAGCCAAAGTCAGTTCTTTACTCAGGACTACATTTTTGCTGCTCCAGATTTTTATACCGAATGCCTTAGAGTTTAAAGAATCGTGAAAAATGTTCATGGAGGAATTGGCCTTTGAGTCCGGTGGGTCTCCTTTAACAGCCTGAGATTTTTAGCTGGTGAAGTAGGGGCTGGCATGGACATAGGCAAGCGCTGTGGGAAGTTAGAATGGCCATGTGCGCCCCATGGCTGAGCACTGTGCACGTGGAGGGAAGGAATGGCAGATGACAGGTCATTCTAAGGACATTCTTGGAAACCAGCTGGAGAGTTTGGCTCTAAGGACACTTTTTCCAATCTGTTCTTTAGGCTGTAGACCAAATCATCTGTATAGCACAAAACGATGCTAGCCCTGGCTGGGTAGTTCAGGTGGTTAGAGTGTTAATATTAGGGCACATCAACCAATGAATCCATAAATAAGTGGGACAACAAATATCTCTCTCTCTCTCTCTCTCTCTCTCTCTCTCTCTCTCTCTCTCTCTCTCTCTCTCTCTCTCTCTCTCTCTTTCTCCTTCTCCCTTCCTCTTTCCTTCTCTCCCTCCCTTCTTCATTCTCAAAAAATCAATCAAATAATTAAAAAAACTCATAATGACATCACATCGCTTCTCTATTTTGGATCCTTTAGTAACTTTCCATTCCTCTTAGAAGAAAATCAAAATCCCCTCGTATGTCCAAAAGGCCCTTGTCTGCCTCTCCTTTGACACCCCTCCAGCCTCAGACAGTACCATCTGCTGCTTCTTACACTTGAGCCCCCTGCTTTGTTTAGATTTGGGAATATAAAACCCAAAACCTTCCTATAAGCCATGTCTCCTGGATCTCCTCTTCTAACTCTTCATGGAAAGTATTGTTTTTCTTTTTTTTTTTTTTTTTTTTGTGTGTGTGTGTGTGTGTGTGTGTGTGTGTGTGTGTTTGTTTGTTTTTGTCCTCATTCAGGTGCAGTCTACATGGAGGAACTTCAGTCAGGTCTTACTGTTTTTCTCTCTTGACATTCAGAATGGTCCCTTGTACTCGTAATATGTTATTGCATATTTCTGTATGGAATTAATTGTCTCAGTCTGCCTGCATCATGAGGTCAGGGACTTTATCTATTTTGGAGACTGCTGTAACCGGCACCTGGTAACCATGCACAACACTTGGTGCACAGTAAGGGCGCCGTCAGTGTTGGATACATGACACGTGGATGGGCAGAGCACCAATCCTATTAGTGAAGGCAAGAAAAAATAGGGACTTCCATCAGACTTGCAGAAATAAGGGTGTAAACAAAACCCTCAGGCCTTTATATTTTATTGCCTGTTTTACTGACATTGTCAGTGTGTTCTAAACAAAGCCATATTTTCCCCATCAGAAAATTGTTCTGGAAAAGATTCTAATGGTGATAACATTGTGAATGTGTGGGAGTGGATATGTTGTTCCTAAGTGTGGTGTTCCTTATTATAGAGAGTGTCACTTTGTAAGAATTGATTCCCCTTTCTGCCTTTTAAATAAAGCCAATCTCAAATCATATTATAAAACAGTCTTGAAAAGTAGAAGGGAAACTGTCATTCTTTCTCTTTGTAGAAATCGTCGTATTGTCTTGGTGATTTTCTTTTGTCAAGATGACTAGAATTATTGGAGAAGTCTGTAAAGGCATATTATATTAAGAGTAAGGAAGAATGATCCATTCTCAAGTGGGCTTAAAAAATAAACCTCTGTCACTTTAATTCTGAAGAGCCTGAAGACTTTGTAATGTACACAATAAGCCATTGTGGAAAGAAGACTTTAACCACAATGAAAAACTGAGGGCAGTACAGTGCTATCTTTATAAATTTGCTAAGCCAAATGCAGTCCTTTTGTTCTTAGAAAATTGCTTTTTTTTTTTTTTTTTTTTACATTTTCAAAGTAAAATGCCCCATGGTTGTTCTTGTCCGTCTTCAAATGTTCTTTAGAAACACTTGTCTGCCATGAACGGAATTTTCTAAAGGGCATATTGAGTACCACTCAATATTAGTAATGGCTTTAGTGCATGTCTTATACTTGTTTCTCCCACAAAGCCCTGCTCTAATTGGTACTCAGTAACTACTTATTAGTTGAGTAAAATGTACTTGTGTTTGTAACTGGCAGAAATATTTAAATTTTGCTATTAATTATTTCCTGGGTGTGCTTTATTCTGCTGTGTTAACTTTGCATTAAAGTCTACTCTTGCCATACCCCTTAGCAAAATTGATTTTTGAAATGTGAGAATTAAATTAAAATTATGGACTATTTGTGACATTCTACTTATAATCTGAAACCCTAACCTAAACCATTGAGGTTTACTCCAAGTAGGCAAAAAAAAAAAAAAAAAAAAAAAAAGGATGTGATATGACCATTTCTAAGAGAAATTAGGCAAATTTTCATAAGAAATCTAGATTCATGCAATGATAACTGTTCATGTAATTTTAAATAATTTAATGAAAAGAATATTTTTATTTTAGTATATCACAAACATAATTAAGTCTATTCTTTTTCTTTTCAAAACACAAAGTTTTACAATTTTCTGAATATAAAAGAATTATAATTTTTAATTTTTCAGAACATGGACAAAAATATTTTAAAACTAACTAACCACTATTTAATAGTATTAAACATTGGGTAAGAATTTATTTAATTTGCTGAAATTTTTCCTGATGAGTAGTGATGGAAATTAAATTTGTCAGCCTCTACATTATGTAATATTTATATTTTTATTTTATGTCCTTTTATGCATAGAGAAAGGAAGAGAAAAAAAGAAAATGGCCCACTAACAAGGATTATATAGACACTGTTACATTCCTTTTTCAAATTCTGTAATTTTATTTTATTATTTTTTGCTTAGTCCTCTATGACTTTTCCAGTATTAAAATTTGAGCTGCTTTTACCTCTGTTGAAAACTTTTTTTTTAATACTGTTTTCATCTTTTAGATTTTAATGGTTAAATGAATAAAACCCGGTTAGCTTTTCAACATGCATGTTGAAAATTTCTCTTACTTCAGTTCTTACATCAGAAGACATGCCATCTGCAGGTCTTGTCTACCTTAATTTTTTTTCCACCGGAGTCAATTCAGAGACGCAATTCCTAGTGGATGTACTTGTCTCAAAATTATCAGAGTCACTTTTGCAACTTCTGATAAAAGAGAGAATAAAGAGGCAGGTCTTTCCCCCCCTCCTCTAATTTGTGTTACTTTTAAGGGGGTAAATGTAGTTGTATTTTAATTCTCAGGAATTTAACAGACTAACGATTCTAATAATTGTGCTTGAAAACTTGTAACAGTTCTTTATCACTGTCACTTTGCCACTGCCATTCTAATAGTCACTGGTTCTTCTATGTCTGAATATAAAACTCCTAAAACACTATTTAACAGACAGTTAGTGATAGGATAAATATATTTGGAATATACAGCTGGGGTTTTTAAATGGGAATTTCAGCAGCTTCTCATCCTGACCAGTATTTAAACAATTTGTAATCTTAGATAAAATGTAAATTCAGAATAATTTTTGGAGTCATATTTTATTGACTTCTACACACTGAGGATTTAAAATAATTGGGCTCAATTAACATTTATCAAATGCCTATTATTTGCCAGGGATTTTTCTAGGCATTGGTCACACAAATATGAATAAATTAAATTTTCAGCACTCAACCTGCTAAGCAAAAATGTAAATTTTCACTGTTATGAAAAATGTGGTTTACAGAGGATAAATAATGTAAACCAATTTATGAGGGGAGTTGTCTGAATGCCTAAAAAAAGAGTGTTCTTTTAAGCACTAGGCTAAGTAACTCTTTACACAGAAATCAACAA